TTCGAATTAGCAAAACAATGAAGGTTTTTAGCTGGAAAAAAGTGGAGTTTTGGCAATAAACTATTTATATTGGCCCAATAGAGACAATATGACCCTAAAAATGTTAAGAACAGGCGGAAAATTTTCTCAAGGACGCGTTATGTGGATGGCTGTTCATCTTTATTTTTTCACTCCTAATGAAAAGGGAGAGAGAGAGAAGAAAAAAAAGAACAATAACAAAAACAATCAACTAATAATAATCATAAAAAGAACAAAGTATATTCGTTTTTTTTCTCGCTTTTAATTAGTAAGTCTTTTTCAAACAGACTTCTACCGTGTGCCGCAGTCTTTGTTGAATTGTGCAGAAGCTGCGACAACATATAGAAATTACAAGCATTAGAAAAAAAATTATCACTTGGCCATCAAGTCTTTTTGATTTGGAGTTCAAATTTTGCTCCTGTTAGTTAAATTTTTCCATTAGTCTTGTCAGAGAGGATTTTTTTCATAGTTTCCAGTTCGTTGAAAGTTCAGAGGACGAAGAAAATGATTGTTTATCTATAAATTCTTTTGTGTTGCTATTCCTATTTTGTTGCCGTTTGTCCACTTGCGTGATCTTCATGATCCACTCCTATATACTTACTTAAAATGGCGGTTACGCAAATACTCCTAGTGCCTGTTGTCACGGTATAGGTAGACGGAAGTGTCATAACGAGTATTGCATGTTGCCGCTACTTTTGTTCATCGACAACTGATCACTTTGGTACTAGTGACCTGCTTTTTTATCATTACTTTTTTTTTAGTTATTAATTGGCTACTGCTATAACTGTTGGTAGTTTTTGTCGGTGAGAAGAGGATATTTTTACAAGTGCATGGTTTCGTCTTGAATAATTGCTGCTCTTGGCCTTTGTTCTGTGGGAACTTGTTGCTGATAGTTTTACGTTTATGTATTTTTCTATCCTTTTTTTTGCATAAAGAAAGGGTGGAGAGGAAAGTGTGTGTGGAGGGGGGGGATAATGATGGAAAGGGGACACAAAAAAAAGTTAAGCTCTTTTTCCATAAACATGTCATTTGTCATTGTTGTTCAGCTTGCTGTTCGACTTATTACGTCTACCCCGATTTCCTTGAAATTCCTGTTTCTGTTGAGTTTTTTTTACGTACTCTTATGTGTAGCTTTTTGGTTGCTTTTTATCTTACAAATTTGTTTAAACTTTGCTTCTTTTTTGCTAGAGCAAAATAGAAAATAAAAGTTGCAGAATGAGAATCTTTTTTCTGCTAAAATATTGATGCAGTGAAAAAAAAACAGTAGTACAGTTGAATTTGTAGTATTATTGAAGAAGTGTTTTCTACTGCACTGCTTTTTTTTTTTGCAATTGGTTAATGGTTTAAATCGACTGGATCAAGGTATTTTTTTTTAGTTTTTGGTTAAAATATGCAAGGGTAGAGGATGAGAATGATGGTTAAGATAAAGGTGATGATGATGGTGGTGATTATGATTGCAGTGACGAAGATGATGATGATGATGATGATGATGATGATGATGATGATGAGACTGATGATGATGATGATGATGATGATGATGATGATGATCAGAAGGTATACAGAAGAGGATTGTTTTTTCTTCTTTCCTTTGCTTGCCGCAGTTATCGGATACACTTTTTAGTTCCTTGAACTATATTGGAAAATATAATACATTATAAGTTGTTGAAAGTGACGCAATTAAGGCAGCAAAAATGTTTTTGCTTTTCAAAAAATGTCATTCTGTTGCAAAAAAGGTTTTGATTAAACACACACACACACACAGATACACACACACACACACAAAGGCACACACAAACACAGATAGAAACAAATTCACAGTTTATATACGTGTCCAAAGACACGATAAAGAGGGCAGAGGATGGAGGAGAAACGCCCAAAGAGAAGGTTGGGAAGAGAAAAAACGAGGGAGAGGGAACCACAGCAGCCGACGGTTAGAGTGGCGGTGTGAAGCCGTTCGACAAGCCGTCCCATTTGATAGTATTTCCATTTGAGCAGCAGTAAATTTTTTTTTTGAAAACTGCGTAATTTTTTTCTTCTTTTTACTAATTTATCTAACAAATCTTTAATTGTTGTTACTTTTTTTAACACACACACTACACATAGTTCTTTGCTATATTTCCGTACTGTGGAAAGGCAGTTTTTTTTTCTTTTTTTCGGGAACCGGAACTAAGAAGAATAAGTTAAGAAAAAAACAGAAAGTTTTTTCTCTGAAAAAAAAAAAAAAACAGAAACAAAACTGCACTTTTTTTACTCAAAAAAATTTTTTTTTCTTTTACGCTTTACATTACTGTGCTGCAGCAGTTTTTTTTTCCTTATTTTATCTTATTGTTTTTATTATTGCTGCCTTCTCATTTTTGGTCATCAACTCCAGCAGTGTTCACATTCTAAGGGAAAATCAGACAAAGAAAAAAAGATGAGAGGAAGGTGAATAGAGAGGAAGGAAGATAGGGAAAAAGAGAATGAAAAATGGGAGAGAGAGAGAGAGAGAGCATCGCATCAGTTGCGCGTCGTTCTTTCATAATAGTTCCCGAATTAGTTGGTTGTTATGTTTATGTGAGAATCTGTTTGCTGATCTAAAGGTGCTTACAGTTGAAAGATGAAAAAATTTGAAGGGAGGAAAGAAGGAGAGGAAGAAAAATGAAGGTGGCAGGAAACTGAGGAGAGGAAAATTTTCACTAACGGACTGACTGAATGAATAAAATGGCTGACTGACTGTAATGGAAACGAAAAAAAAAAAATTTGGGGAGAGCTGATGCTGCAACAAATTTCAGAATGTAAATTGTACGTTTAGTGGTGTTAGGGTGCCTTTTCTTCATCTTTTTCGTTGTGGAAGAGTTATACTTCTTGCCACATTGACACTTACACATATTTTTCTTGGCCGTCGTTAGCAGGAAGGTGCTATTTTCCTCATTTGTTTCAATTCATTTTCTTTTTCCCATTTTTTATTTGTTTGAATTTATTGAACTAAGATTTCTGAAATCGGAGAGAAAGGAGTGAATGAAGGGAGGAGGGAAGGGGGGGGAGAAAAAAAAAATTAAGTTTTTGTTTATTGTTGCTTTTGTTTTTGTTATTTTTCAGCGAGTTTTTTTTTTT